TGTGTGTGTGTGTGTGTGTGTGTGTGTGTGTGTGTGTGTGTGTACTTATCTGAAAATGACTCTGTGCCAGGGAGAAGGAATCTGACACACATGTGTTGGGCAGGGCGCGCTGTGTGGGATCAGGGTGTGTCCGGGCAGGATTCTCCCCATGTCTCCATCTTTATCTGTTTCCAGATCACATTACTGTACACACACTGTTGCCCAAAGCAACGGGTTTTATCTATACGTGCAATGCTGACCTCTGCTGGAGGAAGGGGCACAGTGTCAGATATACTGGGTTGAATGTGGGTTGGTCTTTTGAGGGAGGGATAAAATCTCTGCTGTCGTCATGGACACTGAACTACGCAGTCATCCTTCACCTTAAAGTTCTCAAATGGGTGACAACCAAAAGAACAACTTGCTGTCAGAGAAACAAGAAACAAAAAACAAGTTATCTGTACTTGTGTATGGCCTCCCAGCCACCTGCCCCGGTGTTTGAAATCCCCAGGCACAGGCCCAGTTTTCATGTAAACATTGAATATTTATCGATGATTAAAGTGCTTGCTCACACATATCGGGGGTTACATATCTTGGACCAGGGTTTGGTACAGTAAAACCTCTTATTTACTTTGAAATGTGTGTGTTGTAGAGTGTGTGTTTGCACTCTCCAGCACATCTGTGTTTATGATCGCTAAGCACACCTAAATGAACAGAAAACACACGTTCTGATTCCAATGTAAGCATCAAATTGGCGGTGAGCTCTCAAGACATGCAAGATAAATGACAACAGCTATTGGAAAACATTTCCATTGAAGAATAATGGATTACAGCTTAAGTCCAAATAATTTATCACATCTCTCTTCTTTTTATGATCCATCCAAACTAATTTTTATGTCATGTGTCTTCTAATTTCTTCCTCATGTGTTGTTTTCTCACGTATCTTCGCTGTTACGAGCCTTGTGAGCTGCAGATAAATGGGTCATTTTGGTGCAGCGGCCAATAGCAGCAGGGTTTTATCTTCTTGTTGCCTCTGGCCTGTGGCTGATAAAGTCTGAATATGCCTGAGTTGCCTTGAGGTAACTTCTCATTGAGTAATACCAGTTCTCACAAAGATTGAGAATGAAAGTGACTTCACACTGCAGGTCAGTGTGTTGGTCAGAAGTTTCAAGAAGCAACAACTTACAAACGTACAGCTGCCACATCCTTCTTACTTTTTTCTCTCAAGCGCACACACACACACACACACACACACACACAAACTGACCAGCGCCCATGTTCCTCCGCCCACACACACAGGGGCTCATTCACATGGTCATTAAGTCATTAGGCTACTTATTTATTGATGTCTGCCTCCAGAGCGACTGAGCATGTCAGACCAGCTACTAAACGCCTGCATGAGCTTGTCCTGACCATATTAGTCCATAGAACAATTCTGTTTCCACTCTGGATTTATTTTGCCATTTGCTTTAACTGTTCATCTTATTTCATCTACTTTGAAATAAGACGGAATGGCGACATGCCTTGTTTTCTAGTCTGTGCATTGATTCATGTGCTTGTAGGATGCTGATGTCAGCATGTTCAACAGTAACAGTCAGGCCTTAAACATCTCAGAAATAGGCGATCTTTGTTTCATTAGTGTGTGTACGTGTGTGTGTCTGTGTGTGAGTCATGTGACTGAGCTTACAGGAAGTGTGTTCAAATGTTAGCATGCGTATAATTTGACTGACCCATGGCAAAAAAAAAAGAGAGCTTTCATAGAAAGGAACCAGTCTGAGAAGACGGCTGCAGAAGAGGAGGGAAGGAGGGAGGGAAGGGCGGAGTGGGGGAGGGTTGGGGGACAGTGAGCTGAAGGGAGAGAGGGAGGAAAGAGGAGGGCGGGTGGGGGGTTGTCATCGCTGGCTCATTCCAAAGCTCTGGAAGTTGAGAAGGAGGAGAAGAGAAAAATAAGTTTCAGCATTCAGACACAGGAGAGATAGGGAGAGGGCTTGGATCAGTGAGCTGCTCAATCCTTTTTTACTTCCCTCCCCTCCTCTCTCTTTCACGGGTCTCCTAATTTGGGATTTGTTTAAAAAGCAGGACTGCGCCTCAGGAAGACTTTTCCTTGCTGGGGAAAGGGAACCCTGCTCCCTCTTCTCTTGCATTACACACACACACACACACAAACACCTTCTCCCCAAAATGTCTGATTCCACTGTCAACGCTCACTTGGAAGGGATCATATCAGACTTTGAAGGTCAGTTTGTCATGCTGCTTTTCCTCTTCTTCTCGTTGCTCCGTGGTGTGAGGCACTCTCTAACCCCGCCGTGAGGACACTATAGATGATTTCCACATGTTTTATTGGAGCTGAGTTGATCTGGAAAAAGTAAACGGAGAGGGAGAAGGTTTCGTTGACGTCTGTGGTGAGCTGTGGTGTTTTGAAAGGGAAATTGTGCTTCAAGTGTTGCTTTTTATGGCTCTTTAACTTTTGTTGCGAACCATGGGCGTGTGTCTGTTATTGTTGTCATGTATGTATTTGAGTTGAAGTTTCGGCTGCATGTGCCAAAGAGGGAGAAACTGCTTTCAGAGGAAAATGTGCAACTGATTTGGCCTCTCCTCACAGCAGCCTGCATCATGTAGTTTGTTTGTATGCTGGGCACTCAGGAGACAGCAACTGCATTACAGCTGTGAGGGGAACACCTGGCCCACCTCCCCCCTCCGTTCCCTCTTCTCCTCTTCCTTTTCATCTCTCCGCCCCTGGCACACAGATTCCCCCTGTCATCCCTCTCCTCCCACTCCTCTTCCTCCTCCTCCTCCTCCTCCTCCCAAGCCTCGTCCTCTGGCCATGCTTCTCCCTTTCCTCTCTCAGCAGCTCATCCATCCTCGGCCTCTCCTCCTTCTGCCTCCCTGCTGGTGGTAGAGGAAGAGGGTGGGTGGGGTGTGGTGGGGAGGTTGACAGGCTGACACCTCTCTCCACAAACCTGTCTGTCCATCTGACTGTCTCCTGCCTCTCACAAACACATAGCCATTAGGAACGCATCCACACTTGTCCGGAGCTGCTCCTCTGTCAACACCAGTTTGTCTGTGGTATGTATGCGTGGTGAATCCCCTCTCTGCCTCCCCTCTCTGCCTCCCTCTCTCCTCTTGTCTTACAGTTTTTAAACCGCCGGCTTACGCAATGCAACGGAGCAGAAAGATAAGTGGCATTCAGAAAAGAGAGGCAACAAAAAAAGGGGCGAAGGAGTGCGCTCTACCCGTTAGATGTCCCTAATGGGCGACTGTTGTGATTGTCAGGGGTATGTGTTGGGCTAAGTGTGTTGTGGTAATACCATTGTGACACCACCACCCCTGTGATGTATAGCCCTGCATGGCACAGATGCAGAAGTGCTGTGAGAGCTCGTGCAACAGGAGACAGGATTTTAGGGTTGGAAAGTGAATAATTACACGTACTCATGTTACTGTAACTGAATGGGTTTGCCGTGAGCTTTTTGTTTGACTTCAAATACTAATTCCCCTCTTGATATTTAAAGATTAAAGCCTTCCAGATAATTTGCTTTGAAAAGAAGAATTGTTTTAAAGAATAAAAGGATCATCGTTCAATGTGCCAAATCACAACTGAGGAAAAGTTGCGTCCCAAAACATCTGTTGATGGCCTACTTCAGGTTACAAAAGGTTTGTAATTTTCTGACATGAAGAATAAGTAATTCTTCCTCTTACAAATGAACACGTATCTGGACAGAACCAAACCGTTGCTTAACACAGTACACTCAGGAGTTTCGCTGCTGCAGCCTTACTTGGTCTGGTATGACCGGTGGCTTATGTTAGCAAACTTCAGATGGACACTGTTGTGTAGTGGATCTTACTGAGTCACAGCACTGAACTGAGTGACTCTTCTCTACTGGAGCTATACTGTCACACTATGTCTCAGCATTTACCAGTGACCCCATTGTGGCCACAGTGGCGGCCAACCAGCAAAATGTACAGTCTGGGTTTAAAGGTAGAGTCTGTGAGTTGTTTCTGAAACTCTTTATCTTAATTGTTGAAATCCTCCTCACGTCAGTATCATGATCAACACACTGAAAATCCTCATGGTTCACACATAGAAAGTTTTTAACAAATATAGTCACATCATGAACTTGTGAAACGATTAGAGCTCTGAAATGAAAGCGCAGTGGAAATTATGCATCATTTTGTTATTGAATGTGACACTAATTTGTGCAGCATGTTGCTGTCTGCACAGTGACTTTGTGAGTGGAAGCGAGAAGAGGAGGAGTTTTCCATGTAGCAGTGAGTGTATTTGCCATGTCACCGCTGCCGGACACTGATTCACTGCGGTTCACTGTGTCATGCTTTTCTCTGACGACGCCGGTGAGAAGCTCAGTGACACAGAAGACAGGATTCTGTTGCCCGAGGCCAATGACCTCAGCTGTGACCTCAGCCTTGCAAACACACAGATCATTGACCGAAGAGACTGGGCCTTCCGCTGAGCAGAACACACACACACACACCCACACAGTTTCATACAGCTTCATTTTGTCTTGCTCCTTGAGAAAGATCTGTTCTGTTTCCTCTTGCAAACAACCCTCTGTGTGTAATGAGAGATTGTATGGTGAGGTGAAGCTTGTTCTCCTGGTGAAGCAAGAGTACCAACCAATGAGTTGTTAGAGTGAGTATAGTCTCCTCTCTCCCAGCTGATCTCCTTCCTTTTCCTTCTCTCTCTCTGCATGATGAAGGGCATTTGCTGGACCAATGAGAGGAAATTCCACAGAAGCAGATTTCTGTGGTGGGTGAAAATGTCGGGGTTAGGCAGTGGAGGAGTGGAACCGAGCACAGCCCGCCCTCTTTTTTTATATTTTACAGAGCTTCATGGGGCCCGGCCTGCATGACCTGCACTCACAAACCAATCACTGTTGTAAAAGTTTACAGTCTGAAATGAGATCAAGTTAAATTTAATCACCGGAATGGAAAAAAAAAACCATAGAGCACCTTCAGGATCCCTGCAGTGCAGAGCTTATATTGGTTTGTATTCATTTTCCACAAGTGCTTTTTAATCACTTCAACTTATCAAAGGCCACGTGGAACTTTTCACCCTAAAGAATTTGTCATTGCAGGTTGCTGCCATACTTCCTGCTCCTTATTCATGGGTAGAACGATTTTAACAATATTCATTTAGTGGGTTTAAACTCCTTAACAGAGACAGAGATAAATTTGACAGAAATCACAGTAGGAACAGTTTTATAAGCTAACTGCCACCTAGCTGTTGTCAAAGAACAGAAGTATTGAAGTTAATGTGCTATATTGATTTTAACCATTAAGTCTCAGTCTTGTGACAAAACACCACGAGGAGCCTCACTGACAAAGCTGCAGGGAGGAAGCGTCCTCTGACAGAAGCTGATGATAACCATGCTCAGGCGTCTGCATCCTTATCAGAACTATCAGGCTCTATGCTCACCGGCTCGGACAGGTTTCCTGCTAATGACGCCAATAGCTTCTGTGCTGCTGGGAAGCACCAAAGGGTCACTCTGAGGTAGAGTGAACACAGCATGTCTTTGTTGGGCTTTAAAGTTCCTGCTCGCTGTTTCTCTCCCTTGTCGGACACGTGGAGCGAAACCTGCACAGATGCCAACCCCAGGCAAGATCCCAGAGTTATCAGCAGGCTCATTGATGTGGCTGAAAACAACTGGGCTGTGATGAGAGATTTTCTTTGAAACGTCAAGCAGAAACTGCTTTTTGTTTCTATAAGGAATGGAACATTTTATTCACAAGATTTTAGTTCTGCTTGTTTTATCTCGTGGTTGTTGTAGTAACAGCAAGAACTCATCGAGATTCTTGTATATCATTTTACAGTGCAGCCGATCACATTTGTTGTTTACCCGCTGAGGAGTTGAAGGTGCGCAGTGATGACAGCTGTATATGTGCTAAACCCAGTGACATATTCAATGCATTTAACTGCTTCACAATAAAAGCCACCCCTAGTGTTTTGTCAGTTCAGTGCTTTTAATGTGAAGCAGTGAGCAGGACACCTTTGGTTTTCATTCACAGAGACACAAAAGAGCTCTGATATCAATCTCTGGTGCATTGTTGTTTCTCCACTTGTTCCCCCATTGTTGTTCAAGTGTTTCCTCTTGCGCACTCACAAAAATGCTGTTCTGCTAATTTAAAAACCATAATCTATAGCACCAGTAGAGGTCAGAAGCTTCACATGTTACCATTAGTGTAAATCATTAACTTTGATGGCTAATTCTGTCAGTTATTGTAATCTTGAAATTGAATTACTTCCACCAAAGGTTATGTATGTTTATTTGCTTACCTGTTTGTTAGCAGTACTACACAAAAACTACAGGAAGGATTACCACGGAATTTAGAGGAAGAATTGGTGTGAAATTCTAGACATTTTCACGGTCACTTCGTTTAGTTGATCCATTCACTTTATCTACCGTCATGCTCAGAGAGGCACAGGGTATGTCCATGTGCTGCTCATGCACTACATGCTACACTGGAGAGCAGAGTAGCAACACCATGTGTTCTCCTGGCAGTTTAACCATGTTTCAGTGCACTACATGGATTCAATGCAAGTCTGACAGAGTGTTCGTTGAAAAACATCATGCTCGGCTGCTATGTCTTCCTTATTTGGCAGGTTGGGTCTGCTGACTTGAGTTTACAGTATATCAGTCAGAATGGAGTCCAAGATGACTGCAGTTCACAAAGATCTTCAAAGCAGATTCGGTTTCAGTTCCAGGTCAAATGAGAGGTAAAGGGAAGGTTCACATTTGGTTCACATTGGTGCTCATTAGTATTATCTTAGCTTGGTTGGAAGGTCTGTGATCACTGCTATCACCTCACACACACACACACACACACACACA